GTCCCTCTTCTTATTTCCACTCTTTAATATCAGGTCCCAAAATAGTCCAGTCCACTTCGAAAATCCTTTATTTTCTTCCTCAGCTGTAGACAAAATGAAGTCAAATAATAGAAAAGGACCACACCCTTCTTCACCAGCTTTGCTTCAAAATGTTATTATGCTTCTTCTCTCCAGTAGATGGCTTTTACTGTTCCTCTATGCAATCAGATCAATAATTTGTCAAAAATTACCAAAAATTGAACCACAAGCTCAAAATCCATTCTAAATTGTCCAAATTTTTCCTTTTGTTGTTTTGAATTTCTCCAGTTCCAATTTTATTAGTCAAATTCTCCTTAAGCTTGGTATTTGCTCACCAATAGTTTTTCCCCCCTTTCTTTCCCCCCTCTGTGTTCCAAGTGTCTTTTAGCTGCTAGTTTAGCTCTGGAAAATTTTAACCAAAATTAAGATCTTCTGTTCTTACATCGGCCAGTCTTCCTCCAGTCCCAACACTCTGTTCATTACTCATCTCCTGCACCAGCTTGTCCTGTTTAGGATCCATCGGTCATCTGGTTTGGCCTCGGGTGGTGACTTGTGCTGCTGACTGATGGGAGGGAATCACTGCATGAATTTCCTCTTTCCTTCGACTGTCAAACTGCAGCTTCCTTGATAGGGTATCTGCCAGCAGGTTCTTACCTGCAGGGATGTGTTTAAGATCAAAGTTGAATCTTCTGAAGTGTTGAGCCCAACAAACTTGCTTGGGAGACAGTTTCCTGGGGGTCTTAAGGGCATCGAGGTTTTGGTGATCAGTCCAAACCTCAAATGGCATTTTCCCCACCTTCTAGGAAGTGTCTCCATGTGAGTAGAGCCCAATGGACTGTATAGGCTTCTTTCTCCCAGATGGCCCATCTTATCTCAGTGCTGGTGAGTTTTTTGGAGACATAGGCACAAGGCAGAAGTTGTCCTTTTTGATCTCTTTGCAATAGCACTGCTGCTACAGCTACGTCACTGGCATTTGACTGGATGATGAATTGCTGTTTTGGGTCTGGGTGTTGTAGAATGGGCAAAGAGCCGCTTCAGTTTCTCAAATGCTTTTTGGCAGTCCATTGTCCACCCAATTGGCTGATTTGGCTTTGGCTTAGTTGGTGATGGACCCATTTTTAGTAGTTCAGTTAGGGGCAATGCCACTTCTGCAATTGTTGGGATGAATTGTCTGTAAAAGTTCACAAATCCCAGGAAGCTTTGTAGCTGCTTGCGGTTACATTGGGGTTGCCAATCCAGTACAGCTTTCACTTTTTCTGGGTCCATCTGTATTCCCTTGTTGGAAATACGATACTCAAGGTAGTCTGGGGATGTTTTATGGAATTCACACTTTGATAGCTTCATGTAGAGCTTGGTGGCCAGAAGTTTTTCCAGGACTTGTCACACCAGTTTTACGTGTTCTTCTAAGGGTCTCAGAAAAGATGAGGATGTCATCAAGGTAAACGAGCCCCCCTTGTAAAGGTGCTCATGCAGGACCTTGTTAATGAACTGCATGAAGACAGCAGGGGCCCCTTGTAATCCAAATGGCATAACTTTGAATTGGAAGCTACCAAGTGGGCAATTGAAAGCAGTCTTCCACTCATCTCCCTCATCGATGTGTATACAGTAATATGCCTCTCTTAAATCCAGTTTGGTGAATAGCTTCCCCTTGGATAGGTGGTTCAACATGTCCTTCATGAGGGGAAGAGGGTAGGTGTTCAGACAGCATTGATACCCCGGAAGTCAACGCACAGTCTCATTCCCCCCATCTTTCTTCTTGAAGAGAACAGGGGCCTTGGATTTTGCTGGTTGGATGAAGCCCCGTTCCAAATTGGTATCAATGTATTTCCTTAATTCTGTCATTTCCTTAGGGGTCATGGAATACATCTTAGGCTTTGGTAGTTTGGCCCTGGGCACAAACTCTATTGTGCAGTCGGTGTGTCGATGAGGGGAAAGATAATTACAATCCTCCACTAAATTCCCCTTCCAGGTCCTGATATTCTTTTAGTATTTGCTGGAGACCAGGGAGTTTAGCATCTGCTGCCAGAGCAGCATGTTCTGAATTGTCTGCCTTGGGGGGCTCGATTGCCCCTGAATGGCCCACTGGCTTCATGGGGGTAACGAGCTGAGGCCTATGGTCAACTTTTGTTATCCATCCTCCCACTTTATGCTGGGTGCTCATTTGTCTAGCCACACAAGGCCCAGGAGGATTGATTCATTCATCTTTGGCACAATAATGAATCGGAGGCGTTCATGATGACACCCTATTTGCAATCTCACTAACTCAGTAATTAGCTTGGCCAGGGTCCCTCTGATTAGCGTCCCGTCGACTTGCTCAAAAAGGATGGGATGGGGGAAGAACCCGGAAGCATCACACTGAAAACGGCTAGGGAAATAGCGAGGTCTGTGGAACTACACAAAAACCCAGCCGGCAAACTGCTGTCGAGAGGTCCCTTGTGGATCGGAACCATCCTGACGGGACAGGGAACAAGGAGAGGCATTTCAGGTGACTGCGGGGAGCGAGGCAAGCTTCCCAGCAGGTCAGAAACTACACTCTCCAAAGATCAACGGTGGGGGTGGTGGCCATCTTTGAATGACCGCTCTGGAGCTGGGGCAACCGGAACGAGACTGGTGCAGGAGATGAGTAATGAACAGAGTGTTGGGACTGGAGGAAGACTGGCCGATGTAAGAACAGAAGATCTTAATTTTGGTTAAAATTTTCC